CAATACTAAAAGAATTTAATAAAAAAATGGAACCTTTATGGTAAAAATTACTATTTTAATCTATTGATAGGAATTGCTATTTGTAGGGCTGTTCATGGGTTGAGTTTGTGTGGGGTAGGACTTTTTCTTCTCCCGTCCCAAAAAGTGCGGATTGCACATATTTAGCCCCAATGATGTTAGAAAAATTTCACTAACCCAATGATGTTTGGGTTGGGTTGGGGTGGCGTGGGGTGGGTTGGGTGGTCGGTTTTAACATATAAAAAATAAAAAACTCAAAGTTCAATTCAACATTCAAATAGAAATAATAACTCCAACATTCAAACATATAGAAATTCAAAGTTCAATCTAACATCAAACATGAAGCAAAGTAGTCTATCCAACATCAAACATGAAGCACACATAAATTAGTCTACACTCTTAATATAAAGTAAACATAGAGACTTAATTCAAACATAAAGAAACGAGAGAGTAGAAATGAGTTGCCTACCTAGGGTTAGATATTTGAGGATGCAAGTTAGAGTGCGGATTATGTTGGGGTGTGTAGGTAATTATAGACCCAACCCACATCTCATTCTAAAACTTTGGGCTAGACATTGAATTGGCGGAAAAAAATTTTAATACTAAAAATTACATTTTTCGGATGAAGTTGGGATGAGGTGGGTTGGGCCTGCGGATTTTGCGGGTTTATGAACAACTCTAGCTATTTGTAAGTATCATTAAAGGGGTTGCTTTTTTTTTTTTTTTTTTTTTTAAACCAAAAAGAGTCAAGGGCGCTGAATAAGGTGAAGCCTACCCATTTTCTTTTAGGGAAAAAAAGCTCAAAAACACAAACAAAGCCAATATATGGTTCATTAAAGAAATCAAGATGACATGTCTCTCCAAAAATAGCTGGCCAATGAATAAAATCACATGGATAAAAAACTGCAAATGCTAACATCATATGAGATAAACCTAACTAATCCTAAGTACACATCACTACCGTGTTATAACTAGGAAAAGGAAATATGATATATCCAAAGTACGCATAAATTGAACTTGTCCTTCGGTACTCCTTTTAACTAATAAAAAAAAAAGAAAAGAAAGAAAGAAAGATAGAAAATAAGAAAGATTATTTTCATAAATACCCTTAAAATATGTATTCTATTTTAAAATATCTCATGACTTTTCAAAACGATCTAAAACACTCTATAATCTATAGAAAACTATTCAAAATATCATCTCCTTCTATTTCCGTCTATAATTTTAACGGATTACTGCCGTGTCGTGAAATTATACGTTTATAAAACGTATATTAATATATAAACCTAATTGTTCTCTTTCATATCATTATCATATTAATTAGTAACAATTATCACAAATAATTATTGTAATTGTTTTATGATAAAAGACGCACAATTTATTACGCATAAAATTAAGGATAGATCGGCCATTATTACCAATGGTAATTTGACAAACCACAAGAAATTATAACCAATACTAAAAGAATTTAATAAAAAAATGGAACCTTTATGGTAAAAATTACTATTTTAATCTATTGATAGGAATTGCTATTTGTAGGGCTGTTCATGGGTTGAGTTTGTGTGGGGTAGGACTTTTTCTTCTCCCGTCCCAAAAAGTGCGGATTGCACATATTTAGCCCCAATGATGTTAGAAAAATTTCACTAACCCAATGATGTTTGGGTTGGGTTGGGGTGGCGTGGGGTGGGTTGGGTGGTCGGTTTTAACATATAAAAAATAAAAAACTCAAAGTTCAATTCAACATTCAAATAGAAATAATAACTCCAACATTCAAACATATAGAAATTCAAAGTTCAATCTAACATCAAACATGAAGCAAAGTAGTCTATCCAACATCAAACATGAAGCACACATAAATTAGTCTACACTCTTAATATAAAGTAAACATAGAGACTTAATTCAAACATAAAGAAACGAGAGAGTAGAAATGAGTTGCCTACCTAGGGTTAGATATTTGAGGATGCAAGTTAGAGTGCGGATTATGTTGGGGTGTGCAGGTAATTATAGATCCAACCCACATCTCATTCTAAAACTTTGGGCCAGACATTGAATTGGCCGAAAAAAAATTTAATACTAAAAATTACATTTTTCGGATGAAGTTGGGATGAGGTGGGTTGGGCCTGCGGATTTTGCGGGTTTATGAACAACTCTAGCTATTTGTAAGTATCATTAAAGGGGTTGTAAGGGGGTTTTTTTTTTTTTTTTTTTTTTTTTTTTTTTTTTTTATAAAAAAACCAAAAAGAGTCAAGGGCGCTGAATAAGGTGAAGCCTACCCATTTTCTTTTAGGGAAAAAAAGCTCAAAAACACAAACAAAGCCAATATATGGTTCATTAAAGAAATCAAGATGACATGTCTCTCCAAAAATAGCTGGCCAATGAATAAAATCACATGGATAAAAAACTGCAAATGCTAACATCATATGAGATAAACCTAACTAATCCTAAGTACACATCACTACCGTGTTATAACTAGGAAAAGGAAATATGATATATCCAAAGTACGCATAAATTGAACTTGTCCTTCGGTACTCCTTTTAACTAATAAAAAAAAAAGAAAAGAAAGAAAGAAAGATAGAAAATAAGAAAGATTATTTTCATAAATACCCTTAAAATATGTATTCTATTTTAAAATATCTCATGACTTTTCAAAACGATCTAAAACACTCTATAATCTATAGAAAACTATTCAAAATATCATCTCCTTCTATTTCCGTCTATAATTTTAACGGATTACTGCCGTGTCGTGAAATTATACGTTTATAAAACGTATATTAATATATAAACCCTAATTATTGAAGGAAAACCAATTACTTAACAATTCTCAATTTACGTGTATTTTTATGAGAGAAAATATTATAACGAGCTACGAACTCTGATCTGAATCATGACACGGATCTTTGTTTCAAACACACGTTTAATATAAAATGACAAAAAAAAAAAGAAAAACAAAAATGAAAACAAATCAAGGTCTCGTTTATTTCAACAATTCGAGTTTAAAATTTGAGTTTTATTATAATAAAAAGCTCTCAAAATAATCACATTTAACTTTTTTACTACAATAAAAAACTCAAACATAAAATCATATCTCAATTCGAATTAAAAATTTAAGTCAGGAAACTAAATGGCCCAAACTAATTAACACATTCTTCCCTTGTTCCCATCTCCAACCTTAATCTTCTTCTTCTCCGTTCACGTTCACTGAAAGAAAGTAAATACCAACAAATTAAACCACCGTTTTTCTCTAAACTCCTCTTACTCTTCGTTTTGAACCCTAAACTGAAAAAATCCAGCTCTTATTCACAGTTCACAACACCCAAAACCAATCAAATCAAAGAAATCACATTGACTCAGTCGTCGTCGTGAAGCATCCCCGTCGCAAGCACTTCTCCGCCTCCGCCATAACACATCACCCAGTTGCGGAGCCCTCCCCTCTTGCCGTTGGCTGACACGAGTAAGAAAAACTCTCTCATTTATTTAGAAAAAACCAGAACATCATTGTGGAAGAAAGCCTCTGAATGCCTGGGTTTGATTCATAACGTAAAGGTTTGGAGGTCCGACATGATGGGGAGGCGACTTTGTTTGGTTTGCGAGGTGGCGACGCGATTGGTTGGGTTCGAGAAGTGGGCGGAGCGATTGGCAAGGTTCGCGAAATAGGCGGCAGAATTGGGAGGCGGCTTGGCTGGGTTCTGAGGTGCAGTGGGGTTGCGGGTGGGGATGAGGATGGACGGCGGGATATTGGGTAAGGATGGGCTGCGGGGTCACATATTTGACTGTGAAAACTGATATATCAAACTGCGGGATTTGTTTTTTGTGGGTTTTTTATGATATATATATTTCTTAATTGAATTTAATATATCAAGCTGCTGTTTTCTTCATTATTATTATTTTTTTTGCTATTCTTTATTATTTTTTTTTGCTATTCTTTATTATATTTTTTGCTATTCTTTATTATTTTTTCATGCTTAATCATTTTAATAGAGTTAAATGGCATGACACCGTCAATGATTTGTTAAATTTATAGATACAAGTGGATTGAAGAATATTTTGATCTATTTTCTATATATTATGGAACATTTTGAATCGTTTTAAAGAATCAAAAAGCATTTTGAAATTGAGTACACAATTCAAAAAGTATTTATGAAAATAACCTAAATAACAAGTATTTACCCAATTTCCAAATGCAATATCCGTGAAGCTTCTTTCCTTTGGTCGATATCATCCCACGATATTGCCTAACGACCCCATTTTTCCTCTATAAATACAACAAGGCTTCATATCCAAGTCAATATCACATTTCATTAATATTTCAGCAACTTTCCCTCTATTATCTCTTAGAAAAACCATCTTTCTTAAACCTCTTGATCATCAAATGCTCTGCTTAGTTATATAGTAGATCTTTTGAAAGTAAAAAAAAAAAAAAAAGAAAAAAAAAAAGACAGAGATGTTGCACAACATCATCAACGCAATAACGGGTGATCAGAATCATGAGAATGATAAGAAGAAGATCATAAAAGGGAGTGTGGTTTTGATGAAGAAAAATGTGTTGGATTTCAACGATTTCCATGCATCGATTCTTGATCGCGTGCATGAGTTGTTGGGTCAACGAGTTTCTCTGCAACTCATCAGTGCTGTTAATGCTGATCGTGGTTTGTAATTCTCAGTTTTTAATTCTCTAGCTGCCAAGTGCTATTCAATAATTTTTCATGTTTTTATGGCTCTTTTTTATGCTGTCAAACTTGGTAACTAATTTACTACTAGGCACAAAACAGCAGAATTTTATATTTCTTCTTAATATATGACGTACTGTATATATATATATATATTTATGTATGCATGCATGTATGTATGTATATATAATCCAAAAATGAGAGTAGAATGCCATATTTACCAACCAAATAAATGGCTTCCTATTATGTAATTGGCAGGCAAAGAAAATGGGTTAGGATTATTATGCATTTTTTTATGTTATTTTGATTTTAGAATTGTTTTTATATATGTCTTCGAATTATGTACCCTATTATAAAATGTTTCCTGATTTTAAAAACAGTTTAAAGCACCTCCAATATATAGAAAAAGGTTCAAAATGCCCTTCCATCTAAGTTTGTCTATAACCTTAACAGAACTGCTCCATCCAAGTCTATAATTTTAACCTAAACCTCCATCCAAGTCTATAACCTTAACCTAAACCTCCATCCAAGTCTCTTGATATAGTTATTACAATGTTTTCTTCTCACAAAAAATTTAAATTTCAAATATTAAAATTAAAAATCACTAATTTAAATGCATGAACTAAACATGCCCTTATTTCCAGTTCCGTCTAAATACTAAATTTACTAATCTAACTATATAAATAGGAACGTTTTTTTTAAAGAGAAATAGGAACTAAATTTTGAAAATATAAACAATTGAATGCGTTGTTAAAATTTTATTAGACTGAGTGGTAATAAATAAGACAACGGATTTGAATTCTTCTAGTTTGAATTATAATTAAAGTTTTTACTGTAATATTTTTTTTTATAAAAATTTAAATTTAACTTTTTTTTAGTATAATGTTTTCTCTTAAATTTCATCTAAATAATTCACTTTTTAACTTTTCTTAATTCGAACGGTCGAAACGAATGAGACCTTAACGTGCAAAGAGTCTGGAGTTGCCATTGAAAACTGCGGGAGTTAGTGTTCATTAGTCTGTATTCAATAGGGACACTATTATTTGACGTATTCATTGAATCTATTTACTTCTCTTACGCTGACATAATTGCTTGGCTGGGATAGCCAATCAAACGGTTGGTGGAGTCACTGTTGTAAAAGAAAAAAAAGAAATTTTCTCGTCCTTTTACTGGGTAATTAAAGGGGAAGTTTTCTAATTTTAAAATGGTGTTTATTAAAGGGAAAGAAAAAAAGGGTGTTTCTATAGTAAGACTGAAAAAAATAAACTATTATAGTAAAAATAATTCAAGGTTAGCAGCCATTCCATTTGTCTCTTATTCACTTATTTATTTATTTATTTATTTTTCTTTCTTTGAGGGGCCATTCATCCCTTGTCATTTTCACAAATAACATTCACTGATGCTTGACAAGGCCAGTAAATTTTTGTTTTTTTTTTGTTTTTTGGGTGTTTCATGATAATAAAAATCACCCTGTAATTTCTGTTATTTTTTTTTCTTCCAAATAAGATTTTCTTTCACAAGGCTTGAAACAGTGAACAATATGCCTAAAGCTTCAGTTTGATCGTTATCTGAGAAAGATTGCCCTTTGTGCGTTTCTTTAAGAACCAAAATTAATTAATGTGGAAAAGTTGAAAAAGTTGGCTCTGATAATAAATAATGCTTGATTTGAACAAAATATAATCAGGGAAGACGCAGCTTTGATTATATTGTATTGACTGACCTAACTTAATAGTTTCCTTGACACAGCACTAGCATGCTAAGAAAGTGCTATAAAAAGCTAACTAGAAGACTTTTTGTGATATTGTATTTTGTGTTTTTTTTTTCCTTAACTTTTCTTTTCTTTTTTTTTGTTTTTTTTTCTTTCTTTTTTTTTTTTTTTTTTTTTTTTTTTTTTTTTTTTTTTTTTTTTTTCAGAGATTCAAACTCTTTACCTTGTTATAACGTTAAGTGTGGTATTACTAATAGGCTACACCTGCAACCACGTCTTTTTTGTTTTGTTTGTTTTTTTTTTTTTTTTAAACCTCTAGTTACTTTAGAATGAACTATTGAACTTTTTTTTAATCAAATATTGATTTTTTTTGCTTCTATTTATTTTTTATTTTTTTGGCAGCAAATGGATTGAAAGGGATGCTTGGAAAGGCTGCATACTTGGAGGATTGGATAACCACAATCGCACCATTGACACCGGGAGATTCAGCATTCAAAGTCAGCTTTGAGTGGGAAGATGAAATAGGAGTCCCAGGAGCTTTCTTAATTAGAAATAATCATCACAGTGAATTCTACCTCAAGACTCTCACTTTAGAAGATGTTCCTGGGGAAGGTAGGGTCCACTTTGTTTGCAACTCTTGGGTGTACCCTGCATCCAAATACCAAACTGACCGGGTTTTCTTCAGCAACAAGGTACCAAATTCTTTTCAATTTTTTCCTGAAAAAAATACAAGTTTACTTGATTAAACTTGATGTATAAAGTAATAAGCCTTGTTAATTGTGTGGTTAACAATCCTTTAAAAAAAGGTGTTGAAATGTATGTTCAATTTTTATATGATAATACTCGACAATGGTTGACCTACATTTAAATTTTTAAATCTTAGATCTTTTATAAACTTTAGTTATGTTATGGCCTCGACTAATATTTTATAAGGCGGGATCGAACATGCAACTAAAGCCGCAACCGGGCCAAACTCCCTGGTGCTGTTACACAAAACGGTCTTAGACCAATAAATATTTGAAATATATATTCAATAAAAAAATAATTTTTAATTTTTAATATTATCTATATTTAAAAAAAAATGTCTGGCTCTGCTGCTACTTTATGCTAAATATAATGTATATTAATGCAGACATATTTTCCAAGTGAAACTCCAAGTTCACTGATCAAGTACAGAGAAGAAGAACTAGAAATCTTAAGAGGAAATGGAAAAGGAGAGCTTAAAGAATGGGACAGGGTTTATGACTATGCTTACTACAATGATTTGGGAAATCCAGATGATGGTCAAGAATATGCTCGTCCTGTTCTTGGAGGCTCTACTGAGTACCCTTATCCTCGCAGAGGAAGAACTGGCAGACCCCCAACCAAGACAGGTTCACACATTTTTACTCATCTAATTTACATTTCTACATCACTGTTTTGATCTTAACATTTTCTTCAATTAGCTATTAGAAATAGGGAATTTGGTATCTTTGTTTTTGCAGCCACTTAGGGGCTAATTCGGATATATGATGTAGGACCAAAATGGAAGAGATAATTCTAGATAGAAGAGTAGAACTAAATAGAGAAACAAAACTACGAGAGAGATGTAAATGATCCTAGAGACAGAACAGGAACACAAAAGGAGGAAAACCAATAATCTCAATATTTATTTATCAACCATTCTCTGAATTGAAATAAAAAAAAAAAAAAAAAAAAAAAAAAGAAGAAGAAGAAGAAGAAGAGTAGCCATTTAGGGGGTAATTTGGCTATGTGACATAGGACCAAAATAAGAGATAGAATTTAGATAGAAGAGTTGAACTAAAATGGAGAAACATAATAACACAAGAGGAAGAAAACGAACAATCTCAGTAGCCATTCATCAACCATTCTCTGAGTTAAAATTACAAACTACATCAGTTATAGGTCCAGTACCAAAATAGGAAACTCAACCAGAAGAAGGAAAAAAAAAAAAAAAAGAAGAGGAAACTTGATAATGGGATGCTTGACAAAGTAAGACATATTCATCTTTACACTTTTAGATCAATATTTCAATCTTGCTTTTTCTTCAATTAGGGGCCATTTTGGATGTGTTTTACATTCTTGCTATTGACTTTGATGTGTGACATAATTATCTGAGTTTAAAATAGTACTTATCTTTGAGTTCAAAGATCTATCCATACATTTTCTTTTCGTCATACATTTATTTTTAAGTTTGATTTGGATGTGATTTTCATTCATTTACAGATCCTAAGACCGAGAGCAGGCTTGGGATTCTCATGAGTTTGAACATTTATGTTCCGCGAGACGAAAGATTCGGTCACTTGAAGCTGTCAGATTTCCTTGCTTTTGCACTGAAATCAGTAGCTCAAGTGATCACACCTGAGCTAGAATCCGTGTTTGACAAAACTCCCAGTGAGTTCGATAGTTTTCAAGATGTAATGGACATTTATGAAGGAGGAATTAAGCTGCCAGAGGACTTGCTTAAGCACATTAGAGAGAAGATCCCTGCTGAGTTGCTCAAAGAAATTTTCAGGACTGATGGTGCACAACTCCTCAAATACCCTCTTCCTCAAGTAGTCAAAGGTATTATATCTGATGGTGCACAACTCCTCAAATACCCTCTTCCTCAAGTAGTCAAAGGTGCTAAGCACCACAGCATTTGAGCTCGTATTATCAGTTTAATGCTCTCATGTTTGTCTTCTTTTAAGAAAATATCTATAATCTTTCGTTTAATGAAAAATACTTGGGCCATTATTGGTGCTAAGCACCACGACAACCATTAATAAAACATGGGCCTCAAATGTAGGCAGGCTCCATGTAGTGGGTGATACTTAGCACCATTGATGCCTAATAACATTGTTTTATTTATTTATTTATTTAGTTTTATGTCCTTTAATAGGGTATAAATCGATGATTCACTTCAATTATTTACCAGACAGTAGACACAAATAAGAAGTAAAATTTTATGAATATTTAATGAAAAAGTGGTCAAAAATATTGATTTTAGTTATTTATGCAAATACCCCTATATTTAATTTGTGTTGCCTCAATAATTTGGAGCAGAGGATAGGTCTGCATGGAGGACTGATGAAGAGTTTGCAAGAGAAATGTTGTCTGGAGTGAACCCTGTTATCATAAGTCGTCTCCAAGTAATTCACAAAAATTATTTTCAATGATGAAGATAAAAAAGATGGAACTTTTTTTTTTTTTTTCATGTCTAAGCACTTCTACTTATTTAAATGCAGGAATTCCCACCAAGAAGCAAGCTCGACCAAGAAGTGTATGGTGATCACACCAGTACCATAACTGAACAACACATAGAGAATAACCTTGATGGGCTCACTGTGACTGAGGTAAATCATGGCTTGAATTTTCACAGAAGAGTTTCAAATATAATTGTTGATATGACAAAAAGTTTATTTTATTTTATTTTATTTTTTTAATGTGATTGAACAGGCAATAGAGAAGAACAAGTTGTTTATATTGGACCACCATGACACATTGTTCCCTTACCTGAGAAGGATTAACTCAACTTCCACAAAGACTTATGCTAGTAGGACACTCCTTTTCCTGAAAAATGATGGGACTTTGAAGCCATTGGTGATTGAATTAAGCTTACCGCATCCCGATGGTGATCAGTTTGGTGGAATTAGCAAAGTATATACCCCAGCTGAAGAAGGCGTTGAAGGTTCAATTTGGCAACTAGCCAAGGCATATGTGGCTGTAAACGACTCAGGGGTTCATCAGCTCATTAGTCATTGGTATGTTACTCATGTCAAAAGAGTAAATAATAACTTTGGACTATATAATTCTGCTGATTGGTTTATTCATTTTCTTTCAATTTCGGGTTTGACCACAGGTTGAACACTCACGCTGCGATTGAGCCATTCGTGATAGCGACGAATAGGCAGCTGAGCGTTCTCCACCCGATTCACAAGCTCTTGCATCCTCATTTTCGAGACACCATGAACATAAACGCATTTGCTAGGCAAATCCTCATCAATGCAGGTGGCATTCTTGAGTTTACAGTTTTCCCAGCAAAGTATGCCATGGAGATGTCATCAGTAGTTTACAAGAATTGGGTTTTCCCCGAGCAGGCCCTCCCGGCAGATCTCATCAAGAGGCAAGTCCTTTTTCGAGTCTAGACCATAGTTAGAAAAATCACAATTTCACATGTCATTATTGTTAAAATATAAAAATTATTGTTGGCCCACCTCCTAACAACTTAAGTTTTTGGGATGGATTGGTAAACAATAGTTTTTATATTTTAACAATCCATCACAAAAGTTTAAGCTGTTAGAAGATGGATCAACAATAGTTTTTATATTTTAACAATTATTTGGCAATAGAGGAGGAATTAGAGAAAAGAGAGAGACGAGGAGATACAGAAAGAGGAGAAGAATAGGGAGGAAACCTAAATATTCAATATCATAAGTATGTTGTCTGAACTAGTCACAAACTTAATACCCCTATTTAAATCTTCAACATCATAAGTGATGAAGGACAGTCAAGAAAGAAAGAATAGAAAGAGAGGAAGAATTGAGAAAGGGAGAGATATAGAGGAAGAATTAGAGACGAGAGTGAGAAGAGTTTGAATTTAGAGAAAGAGGAGAACAATAGGAAAGTAAACTAACAAATAGTGGAAACTACCTAATTATCAATCATAGGATACTCATTGAAACAGTTCTGGAAAACTTTAATAAACTGCTGCAAAATGTTAGGAAATAATACTTAATACTACTTTCTATTTCTATTATGCTTCTCATCATTCTCTCCTAGTCGGAGAATTTGACTCCGGCAAGTTAAAACTTTCAAAAAAGTAAAATTTGAGTTCCAAAATGCTCCTTTTTCAATGACTTGGCTCTCAATGCAGGGGAGTGGCAATCCAGGACTCCAATTCGCCGCATGGTCTTCGCCTGCTGATAGAGGACTATCCCTACGCTGCTGATGGGCTTGAGATTTGGTATGCAATCAAAACATGGGTTGAAGACTATTGCTCTTATTACTACAAGAGTGATGAGATGGTTCAAAAGGACTCAGAACTTCAGTCATGGTGGAAGGAACTAAGAGAGGAGGGTCACGGCGACAAGAAAAACGAGCCATGGTGGCCTAAAATGCAGACACGCGAAGAGCTAATCGACTCGTGCACCATAATCATATGGATTGCTTCTGCCCTTCATGCAGCTGTCAACTTTGGGCAATACCCTTATGCAGGATATCTTCCAAACCGCCCTACAGTGAGCCGTCGGTTCATGCCCGAAAAGGGCACCCCAGAATACGAAGAGCTTCAATCTGACCCTGATAAGGCATTCTTGAAGACCATCACTGCCCAACTTCAGACCCTCATTGGCATTTCCATCATTGAGCTTCTGTCAAGGCATGCTTCTGATGAGGTCTATCTCGGGCAAAGGGACACTCCTGAATGGACAACAGACACAAATCCATTGGAAGCCTTTGAGAGATTTGGAAAGAAACTTGGTGAAATTGAGGACAAAATTATAAGCATGAACAATGATGAGAGATTAAAAAACCGAGTCGGGCCGGTCAAGATGCCTTACACTTTGCTCTTTCCTACTAGTGAAGGTGGACTTACTGGCAAGGGAATCCCCAACAGTGTCTCAATCTAAAAGCTTGTGATCTCTTTGAATTTGTTACTGTTCTTTTTAGAATGGAAAGGTTTGTATAATAAGCTTATTTCCCACTTAGCAGTCCTAAAGCTTTATATAAACTACTAAGATTAGCAGTGAGGAAGATGATCAATTGTGTGAAAATATGCATTAAATAATATATAGTATAGTTGATATTGTTGATGCTAGTTAACCACAGTTCTGGTAATGCTACTTTTTTGGGAGCTCTTTTCAACTGCTTATCAGGTATATCCAAGATATTAACTTTTTTTTTTTCTTTTTTTGTTATGGTGAAATCTCTCAGAAGAAATTATGAAAAAGGAAAACTACAAAAGATCAGAGAGGCCAAGAAAACAAATAGAAAGAAAATCAAAAATAAAATAAAGAGAAAGAAAATAAAGAAAAATTTTAAATGATTAGCTCACTAAGTGATTACGCCCAAATGTGTAAAAAAATAAGCGGTTAATTGTTGCACAATTATGACGGTCTATCCCACGAGGATGCGATAAAAACAAACAAAAGAGATTAGCATAACAAAAGCATTAGAGAAGTAATTAATCGAACAAAGAAAAGAAATAGTGTTTTTGTGATTTTAAAACAATTTAATTATAAGACTATGCAATTTAAAATGGAGAAAATTCAATAATTTAAAGTGGTAAGACATTGAGAATCCTCTATATGCTTTGTTCACTTATTTAGATTTTGATTCATAAATTGACTCAATTGAAAATTTCACATCCCAAACAATCAATTGGAAAATAAGATTTGAAAAACTTGTGAATAAAAATGTATTCGAGTAAATAAAATTCTTACGTTTAGAACTAAGAAAAATTATCTTATGAGAAATCTAAAAGCGACAACATACATCGGGGTAATATTGCAGTAAAAGACTACTCATAAAATAGCGTCTCCTAATATATTGTATCATGCAACAATCACATAAAAAGAGCTTTACTATATTTATATAAAAATTGACAATAAAATATAATGATATGAAGAATAAATATGGTAAAAGAAAATTATTTACTCAAATGTATAAAACTTACAAACCATTAGAGAATCAAAACTCAAATAAGCTCACTACACATATAGAATCATATCTAGCCTCACCCAAGAACTCTAGCCTAACTTGCAAAGCATTCTCACAAGATTCTAAAAAAAAAAGTATGAGAATAATAGCAAGACAATGAGAGAAAAAGTGTCTAAGCTTAGGCTAAAAATCAACAACAATCACACACTTAACAAAGCTCCTATTTATAGAGTTTTTAGGGCATTTGAAAAAGCAGTTGACAAAGAAGAAAAACAAAGAAAGAAAATGCCTTATCCAATTAAATTGAATTTACAAGGCTTTATTTTGGAGAATGAATGTAGAACTGAACCATGGGATATCAACGGAACAAAATGGATCAGTTGAGGAATCTCAAGTGGGTGGGACACTATTGGGAATGGTGTCCTAGAAGCATAAGATGTAATAGGATATTTATGATTTATTTAATAAAAGAGTTTATTCATCATTTTTATGTGTATATATTTGTGAATATTTTATGAATATCAATGAAAATTTCATGATTATTTATGTGACCTTAAATATTGTATATAAGTGTTATATACGAGAGGATAATGTTTATGGATAATAATCAAAAATATTATTCATAATGAATTTAATTAAAGTTAGGAATCTTTAATTAAAACATTATTAATTCATGTCATTCCCATTTAGAATGGAATGGTGTTATCCGCACTGTTAATATGGTGAGATATTGAATGAGTGTATTTCGCATAATGAGATTATGTGGAACAAGGACACAGACACAATATGAATTTCTAATAATTTCCGTTAAGTATAAAAATTCTAATTGAGTCTACCGATGCTCATATATAGAATGGTCTTAATCCTGAGTTCTTAACAGACTCATATTTATGGATTTGTGTCTTTTGATTTACTTGGTATGAATTCTAAGATCCTGAATCCCATTCATTGTATTTTGGAGACATCATGAAGTAGGTAGCCGGGAATGTTATTATACGAGATAGAATCCATTCCTTCTTGAGAAAGAAGTAGATAAATAATTCTCTTGAGGGTTGATTCGGTACTTGGACCAGTAGGAGCTCCGATTCATGAATGTGTTTTATGAA